AAAACATGTTTTAAAGAATCAACATTACTGAATGGAGGACAGATGACTGGTTGACCATTTGTATTTCAAAACTTCAAAATCTGAAATGCTCACAAATCAGAAACTTTGGAGTACAGACACTGTGCCACAGTGGAAAATTCACATCAGGAAACTTTGTTTGATGCACAAAAATATTTAAACTATTGTACAAAATTACCTGTAAGATACGCATAACAAAGCACATTCAATAAGTGAATTTTATGTTTAGACTTGGGTTCCATCTCCAAAATGTCTCAGCTATATATGTGCATGTATTTGAATTTAAAAAAAAAAAAGAAAGAAAGCTACAAAAAGAGCTCAAAATACCTCTAGTTAGAGGTATTTCAGAAAAGAATACCCAACCTGTTAGGGGCATTTGTGCAGAGGTTGGGGCGGGGCTGTGGGAAAGACCTGGGGGCAGGCGGGCATGGTGGCTCACATCTGTAACCCCAGCACTCAGGAGACTGAGGCAGGAGGATAAACTGTGAATTCAAGGTCAGCCTGAGCTACAAAGTGAGTTTAAAGCCAGCCTGAACCACATAGTGAAACCCTGTCTCAAAAAGACAGAGACAGAGACAGAGAGAGAGAGACAGAGACAGAGACAGAGACAGAGACAGAGACAGAGAGACAGAGAGAAAGACAGAGAAATGGGTAAAAAAGACGTGGTATTTCTATACAATGGAATACTACTCAGCCATAAAGAATGATAAACTGGACAGTTTTATAGGTAAATGGATGCACCTTGACAATATACCTATTAGTGAAATAAGACACACATGTGTAAACATTGTATTGTTTCATTACTATGACAAACTGAAAGAAAAAACATATCTATGTCTATAAAAAACATTTAAGATAGTTAAAAAAGAAGCAGCATAATGGCCTCCTGTGTCTTCCACATGGCCTGCTCAGAAGCGAATTCAGTGCCTCCCTTCACTGAACACCTCCGTGGTTCTGCCTTCCTCCTACACCTTGTCCAGTCTTTGTCCCAGAGAGAATGACCTCAGCCAAAGCAATGACTCAGGCCACACCCGCCTTTACTTTAACCCACTGTGAGCCATTTTGAGCTGACTTTGGATGTCTTAAGAAATTTTTGATGTGCTATAAGATTTAGGCTTTTCAGCTGTGCGTAGTGGCTCACACCTGTAATCCCAACACTTGGGAGGCTGAGGCAGGAGGATCATTGCGAGTTCGAGACCAGCCTGGGCTACAAAATGAACTCAAAGCCAGCTTGAACAACACAGTGAGGCCCTGTCTCAAAAGTCCAAAAAAAAAAAAAAAAAGATTTAGGCTTTTCACATGTGGCTATCCAGTTGTTCCAGTACATTTATTAAGGGTACAATGTTTTCTCCACTTAATTGTTTTTGCATCTGTGCCAGAAATCAAATGTCTGTTATGTGGGTATCTATTTTGGGACTTTATATTGGTACTGTGGTGGTTTGTCTATTTTGATATCAATGCTGTTTTGTCACGACTGACGTAACTTTGTGACAAATCGTGGGACTGGGGAGGGCTGGAGCTCTAACTTTGCTCCTTTATCAAAGTTGTTTAGACTCTTCTGAGTCTTTTGTATTTCTACAAAAATGCAAGAATAAAAATGTTAATTTTTATGAGAAATGATGCTGGCATTTTGATAAGGGATTGTGTTTTTTGATCTTCATTTTCTTCTATTTGTTTTTTGTTTTAGTCTGCCTTTTATTTAATTTCTTAAGGAGAGATATGAGGATATTTTCTTGGCAGGCAGGCACTTGTGCCGCTGAGCTAAACCTCTGGCCCTATGAGGATATTTTCTGTCTTCTTTTCTAATAAATGTACTTGATGTTAAAAAAATAAATAAATAAAGGCTCCCCTCCCTGGTAAGCAGCTGCAGTGTGGCAGACTGCGGCCCTGAGTCAGTGTCTCCTGAGATCCGCCATGTTGGAACTTAGGACGCTGGGAAACCAAGCAAGCAGCTCCCCTCCCTGCTAAGCAATAGTGAACCTCCTGGTGCACGGCCTAGAGTCAAACATCCCACTTCCCCTACCCCCCTTCCCCTGTCCCCCGTTAGCAAATGGGAACCAGAAATCTGAACATCTCCTGGGAGGTTGACCATAGCAAATAAGGGGGATTTCCTTCTACCATCTCTTTGAAGGCAAATATTTTTATTACTGTTTTGCTTTATTCTGATTAATGGTACTGCTCTATTCAATGTTCTGTTTTGATAAGTTCTATAAGGTTCTGTATTTCATTTTATTTTGATATATGTGATTGAGAGAACAACTATTGTAAAGATAACAAAATATACTGTGATACTTATTACTGTTATCCTGGTAACCTGCTGTGAAGTTCTGTACCAGTTTCACTATGCAGTCTCAGTTGGCTTTATTCTGTCTTGTTCTGTTGTATTTTACTACTTTCAAAATAAAAAAATAAACATGAAAGAAAGAAAGAAAACAAAACAAAACAGGACTGTTCATGCCACTACTTAGAATGTGTAGAACTTAGGCCTTCTCCAGGGCGGGAAAGGAGCAGACATGTTCAAAATCAAGGGAAGTCCTAGCCACAAAGCAAACAAGACCATTCTGCACCTAAGAAAGCTCACAGGCGTCCAAGACAGAAAATCCTTCTAGAAGCATCAGGATGCCCAGCTCCTGACTGAAACGCTTTCCTGAGCGAGGCCAAGGCCAGCTGCACCCACAATTCTTCTACTGAAATTGTTAAAGGGGGTGTTTCCCTGACCCCCACAGAGTGCAATCTACAGAGGGATCCCTTACGTCTGGAGGATTCCAAGGCCCTGGGGTTGGCCATGACTCTTGGAATGACCAGTGGGGCCTGCCAGGCCTGGGCCTGCCTCAGGACATCCTAGCCAGGTCTCCCATCTTCCCTGGGTCCCAGGACCCTACACTGGTACGTGGATGCTGGGCCCAGGGCCTGGCTGCCTCTCAGGAGCGGCCTGAGGGTTCCATCAACCCTGGCAGAGCCAGCTCTGACCCAGCCTCCGGCTGGCCACATCTGAATCTCCCGTGAACACAGCAGGGACCGGTGCTACGGCAGGTGTCCGGCCCTCCGTGTGTCCTCACCCCCCTGTGTCGGGATCTCATGCACTGACCCCTCCTGCTCTGCACCCCTCTCCTACTCACATCCTGCCTCCATCTGCCTGGGTCCGCTCCAAGAACAAGCTGGTGGCACACAGCGGAAGGGGACACAAAGGGACTTTGGTTTCAGTTATCTGGCACCTAACACAATACTCACTACCTGCCACTGCCTGTGGATAATTTGTTTAATTTGTCCTTTTCTCATAGGTACATTTTTAAACCCCTACTCAGAGGGCCCGAAGGAAGGGGAAAAGCAGGGGCGCTGTCCAGCCCTGGGCCCGCATTGTTCTCCCTGACTCATTGTGCAGCCTCTCCGCTGACCCCAGGGCCCAGGAGCCCCAGGGAATCCAGTGCGATTGTTTTTCCCAAGCCCGGGCTCTTCAGGTGTGAGCTGCGGTTCTGGGCGCGTAGGTTACTGTAGCATTTCTGCAGCTGGACAGAGGAAGAGGAAGGAACTTGTGACCCGTGGGCCTGTGGCATCAACAATGCGCCCCAGCAGCTCCAGCAGGAGAGGAAGAGAGCTCAGTTTCCATAGCGATAAATCACCAGGAAGGGACTGAGCAGCCAGAGAAGCATACTAGGATATTCTTTTCCTGGGCTCCAGCACACACATCCCCAGGCCCAGAGCTGGCCGGGGCTGGGCCCCCGCAGGCCAGGCCTTCAGATCTGCAGGTTTCGCACGCCCAGCTGCCCAGGGACCCGAGCGGCCCTGTCACACGTGAGCACTCACCCTCTCACTCCGCCCGACCCCCAAGTGGCTCCTCTCTGCTCTCTTGCACTCTGGCCCTGCCATGCTGCGTCCATCCCAGTGCACCCCTGGACAATGCAGGAAACGGGCCTTGTTGGGAGGGACTCATGCCACAGCCACTCGCCACCTGCCAAATAACCAGAGTGGCTCCAAGAAGCCTCTGAGGGTCTGCCCAGTTCTCGAACTTGCCCTCATGAAAACTTCGTTCATTTGTTACTTTTAACGCTCTGGAATGTCACCTGTCACAGCTCTCAGACCTCTAACCTTTGCACATGCTGTTCCCCTCTGCATAGAACACTCTTCCCTGCGTCTTTGGACAGCTAACTCCACAAGGACACTGCCTGCTTCCTCCTCCTGGAAGCTCTACTGCCTTCCTTTCTGGGATCCACAGAACTTGCCCACCATGCCATGCAGCTTAGCTGAAAAGGTTCCTCTAGGTGGGAAGAGAAAAGGTTTGAGGGCTGGGTGAGCTATGTGAACTTGAGAGGCTTAAACTCCCTGAGCCTGAGTTTCCTCACAGACAAAATGCAAGGAATAAGAATATGTACCTCATAATGCGTTTATAGCATTAGACAGATTTTTTTTTCAGAAAGGGTCTCACTTTGTAGTTCAAACTGGCCTTGAATTCACTATGTACCCCAAGCTGGCTTCATACTGGTGGTGCTCCTCCTGCCTCAGCCTCCCAAGTACTGGGATTACAGATGTCCACCACCACACCTGGCAGGCATACATAGGTCTTAATACATATAAAGCACTTAGAAAAGGCTGACTGCCTTCCTCAAGCAGGAGTCATCTTTCACCAGGGTCCCTAGAGTGAGTTGTTCAGCCTTAGTGTTGTACAAGGCATGAATCTGAAGCCACAGTGGTCATTTTGCAGCCAGCAGGTGCAGCATTGAGCGCCTTACGCTGCAAGATTTCCTCCAGTTAAGTCACTCCAGGACAGGACCCAGCAGCCAGGGACCAGGACTCTTCCAGTGCAGCTGGAGAAGTGCTTAGACATCGCCTCCCAGTGCCTCCCCTCCTCTCCCTTCCCTCCCGATCCGCCGGGGCTGGGCCGGGGAGGCCCCCCTTTGCAGGGCCAGGCCACGGCTGGCAGCCTCACCACAACCAGGTGGCCCTGGTGGTAAACAAACACCAAGAGATTTAGATAATCCACGTACCTGCTACCAGGAGATCGCTCTGATTACAACAGACAAACGCAGCCTCGGACAGCCAGTTCCTCTGTAGTTTTGCTTGAAAAAATGAAACCAAACTCTTCATGCAAATAGTTAGGTCCTAACTAAATTATGTAACATCCAATTCTCTCTACTTAAAAACGCAGCTTTCCTACATCTATAGAGACACGGTGCAGACCGATGTCATCTGACACTCAGGAGGAAGTGGGGATCCCTCGCCAATGTACAAGGGGCACCACCTGGGATGGTGAACCCGTCTCAGATGGGACAGTGGCGGTGGCTGCGCAGGTGGGTAACTTTATAGGGCACAGGATCCCCAGATTTAGTAAATAAAAATCCAAGACTTTAGGTTACATTTGAATTTCAGGTGAGCAAGAAATGGTCGTTTTAATGTTTGTTTGTTTGTTTGTTTATTTGTTTGTTTTTGAGACAGGGTCTTGCTATGCAGTTCAGGCTGGCCTTGAGCTCACTTTGTAGCCCAGGCTGGTCTCAAACTCACAAGGATCCTCCTGCCTCAGCCTCCCGAGTGCTGGGATTACAGGCATGAGCTACCATGCCCGGCTGAAATGGTTGTTTTAATATAAGTCTGTTCTAGATGTGGACCGAGAAATCACATGCAATATACTTACACTATAAAATCATGAAACCTGCTCCAAGCAACCTGGGCATAGGACACCTGTCACCTCAGCACGTATGAGGATCAAAAGTTCAAAACTAAAACTGGGTGTGCTGGTGCATGCCTGTAATCCCAGCACTCAGGAGGCTGAAGCAAGAGGATTTTTGCAAATCTGAGACCAGACTGGGTTACAAAGTGAGCTCCTGGCCAGCCTGAACTGCATAGTAAAACCCTGTATCAAAAACAAAAGAAGAAGAAGAAGAAGAAGAAGAAGAAGAAGAAGAAGAAGAAGAAGAAGAAGAAGAAGAAGAAGAAGAAGAAGAAGAAGAAGAAGTTACTGATGGTGAAAAGGCAGAACTTCAGCCCACTCTGATTTATGAACAATTCCAAAGTAGCAGCTGATGGCATTTTTCACATCAGGGGATCATGATATCAGGAGTAGTTTTTTTTGAAACAGCGTCTTACTGTACAGTGCAGACTGGCCTTGAACTCACTAATTATGTAGTTCAGGCTGACTCTAACTCACGGCAATCCTCCTGCCTCAGCCTTCTGAGTGCTAGGACTACAGGAATGTGCCACCACGCGGAGGTAGGAATGGCTTTTTGTAGGAGTAAAAAAAGCACATACATCTGACAGTGTTTTTTTCATCTGTGAACTAAATTATAAGTTCCTTGTTCAGTTTGCCCCTTCGGCCTGAATTATAGAGTATTTACGAAGGAAGTTTTGACTTTTTTTCTTTTTTAGGTTTCAAATGACACAAAAGAAAAACAAAAATCAAAGCAGCCCTCAACAACACGCTTCAAACTACAAGAATTTGACAATTGCGCCATCTAATGGAAGATAATAGAGTTGCGTGGAAAATCACGGCAATTGTTCTTTCAGATTTACCGATGGCAATTTGTCTTAAATAACTTCAAGCTCTAGAGGCACCTTGTTTTTGTGTTTTGGTTCCCAGGATTGAACTGGCGACCTCGCACTTGCCAGGCAGGCGCTTATGCCCCCGAGCTAAACCCCGGCCTGGAGACTCTTGTTTATTCTCTTTGTCTCTGTCTCTCTCTGTCTCTCTGTCTCTCCTTCCCACCCCCTTTTCCTGGGACCCTTCACATTGGGCTCCATCCCGACACCCTTCAAAAATGTTTTTTCATATTGAGACAGAATCTTGCTAAATCACCGAGGCTGGGCTCCAATTTATGATTCTCTTGCCTCAGCTTCTTAGAGTGCTGGGATTATAGGCGTGTATCAGTGCACCCCACTTCAGCTCTTATTTCTAATAAAGATATATTATTGATGTTAAAAAAGTATATAAAATAAATAATAGTATAGTGAAATGATGTGAAAGACAACTTCTTCATATACTAATACATCAATAAATATATATATATATATATATATATATATATATATATATATATATTGCAGTGCACATTGTATACCTTTGGCCCACCATGAATGTAATTCTTTTAAAATACATAGAAAATTATCATTTTTTAAGAGCTTCAAAATCTCTCCCCATGTATGGAATTTCTTTTGGAATAATGTAAGTGTTCCAGAACTGATTTGCTGATCCTCAACAGCTTTGTGAATGTGTCTGAGGCACTGAACTCTGTGCTTTAAATGGGTGACTATTATGTGAATTAACTCTCAATAAAGTCGTTTGTTGTTTATTTGTTTGGAGATGGAGTCTCACTATGTAGTTCAGACTGATCTTGAACTCACAGTGTAGCTCAGGCGGGCATCAAACCACAATGATGTACCTGCCTCAGCCTCCCCAGAGCTGGGAGTACAGGAGTGTGCCACCATGCCAGGCTCAATAAAGATGTTTTTAAAAAAACAAACAAACAACAAAACCCAAGCACACCCACACACGAAAACTAGATGTTAAATATTCCAATCCTAAAGCCCGTTTACAGGCGAGGAGCAGTTAGGGGTTTTTGGTTTTCCGGGATTATAAGGAAACCCCTGACACACCCCTGGGTGCTGGTTTCATACACTGGTGGATGCAGATGGAAAATTCCAGATCTGTACAACACAGCTCTGGCTCTGACTGCAAAAATTCCAAATTAGCTGTGCACTGTAGAAACCACTGTACATTGTTCCCAACTTTTAAGTGTGTGCAAGGAAGTCCTCCACTGAGTATGGGCCTCTATTTCCCTCAGTGACCATGAGGAGGGGACAGTGGGCAGGTCTGTTGTGTTTAGCGTTTTGTTATCAGGGCTAATCAATCTATCGAGATAAAAAAGACATGGTGGCTCACGCCTGTAATCCAGCACTCTAGGAGACAGAGGCAGGAGGGTATAAATTCAAGGACAACCTTGGCAATTTAGCAACTTAGCGGGAACCTGTCTCAAAATAAAGGTTTTTCATTGTCATTGTGTGGTTGGGGTTTTTTTGAGGCAGAGAATCACTACATAGCCCAGGCTGGCCATGAGCTCCCTATGTAGCTCAGGCTGACCTCAAACCTGCAGGGATGCTCTTGTCTCAGCTTCCTGAGTGCCAAGATTACAGACACCACTATACCCTACATGAGGGACATTTATTTTTTGTACAGGGGCTTGATCTCACAAACTTGCACTCGCCAGGCAGGTATTTATGCCACTAAGCTAAATCCCCAGCCCGATGAGGGATTTTTATAACCCTGGCTCTTATTGAAACAGCTACTACAATAAGCAGTACTTGGTTTTCTACTGACATGGTGGCATTTGTCCCTGATCTGAAAATGCATTCTTTAGACCCTACCCCGTTCTCTCTCCGTTGAGACTCAGTGCCTAATAATCTCATTTTTTAAATTTCTTTTTTTAAAATTTTATTTAAGGAGAAAAAAAACCGGTACAAGTTATACAGACTTTCAGAAAAAATAAACAGTAGGAAATTACTAGTTGATAGATTAAATATTGTCATCTTAGAAATAGTTGTTCAGATTACAAAATTAAAGCATATAAAGTGGACTTTCAAACAGTGAGACTGCAAACAGTTCTGTTCAATGATCCAACAAAACTCAGTAATATGGTTATCTATTTCATACATTTAAATATACATGCAGTTATATCCTTTAGAGCACTTTCTTTTCCTCTCTTTTGTACAATGACAATTACACATTTTCCCACAGTTCTTATTACTTTTTTTTGAACAGAGTAAAACCACATGTGACATAACAAAACAGAGTCAAATCAAAAGGATGGACATAATACATAATGTAAAAACAGAATACAAGGTGATCAACAGTGGTTGCCATAATGCTTCTTGCTATCTTAAAAAGAATTGCCTATATCATCAGTTATAATAAAATTAAACAAAACAGTAAAGAACAAAACCAATAAAGCCAAATCATTGGAGACATTACAGGACTTCATAAGAAGATAATAGTCAACCAGAATGGGCGTCATAATGAATCTTATTGTCTTCACAGTTGTTGCCTATACTTTCGAACTTGGTAGTATCAAGCAAAACAGAATAGAGGAAAATCAGTCAAAACAAGATGGTGAGAGCAATACAGGGCTTCAAATCGTTAATAGGAAATCAAAGTGGGTTACTATAATATATCCTGCTATTTTTAATTTATTTTTCCCTTAATTAAAAAGATAAAAATAAAAAAGTAAATAATAAAAAAAAGAGATTGAGATAAAAGAGGGCATAACAAAAAAAACAGTGCAGGTCAAACATAACCATTTAAGCAAAATAGTGTTTCACCACAAGATAATCCTGACATAAAAGTAGTTACCATAGTGTCTCTTTCCTTGAAATCTTTGAGTATAACTTGGTGTACTCTAGCATCAAACATATCAAGACAATGTAAAACCATTCAACAGAATGACAGTATTACAGTATTACAGAATCAACTAACAGAAAATGAACAATGGCTTCTGTATAATCTCCTTGTCTATAAAAGTTTTTGTTTATATTATCACATATAATAAAATCCAATAAGATACAACATGTTAAGACCAATGGAGACAGAAGAACAAAAGCTTGATGGGACTTCAAAACAAGATGATATTAAATCAGCACTAGCTATTATGATGTCTTGTTTTCTACAAAATAGCTGTTCCTACCATCCAACCTTCTCTGCCTCATTTCTGTTGAGCTCTTTTTCTGTCATTAGTTGTTAGTTTGTCTTCTTCATTTCGCTTTCTGCTCCATTCATTGAGGCCTCTGTTTCTGGGATCTTGGTATTTTTCTTTTTTTAGAATATCCTCAGTATTCTCTGTAGAGTTGAATTGATGGTTGCAAATTTCCCTAGTTCCTCTTTATCCTGGAAGCACCTTGTTTTTCCATCAATTTCTAGGGATAGTTGTGCAGGATATATCAGTCTTGGCTGGAGGTTATTATCTTTCAAAGCTTGAAGTATTTCCCCCCACGCTCTTCGTGATTTGATGGTTTGTGCCAAGAAGTCTGCTGTAATTCTGATGGGTGTTCCCTTGTAAGTGATCTGTTTCTTGTCTCTGATGGCTTTTAATATTCTGTTCTTATATTGGATTTCTGGAATTTTGATTATTATATGCCTGGGTGTAGCTCTGGGTTGTAGGTGGCTGGCGTCCTGTATGTCTCATACATCTGAGTATCTTTACCTTTTGCTAAATTAGGAAAATTCTCCTGGATTATTTCTGTGAATAGCTTTTGTAGTTCATTTGTTTGTGTCCCTACTTCTTCTTGTATGTTCTTAATTCTTAAGTTATAGATCCTCTTATCATCTTCTAGCCTTTGTATTATTGCAGTTTGTTTTCTTGTTATTTTTAAGAAGTTTTTCATTTCATGCTCCCACTTTACAAATCTGCCCTCTAGTTCAGATAATCTATCCTTAGTTTCTTTCAAGCTGTTATGCCAGCTTTCAATAGAGTTTTTAGTTTCCTGGTAATCTCTTTGAACCTGCCTCACGTATTCTATGTTTTCTCTATTTTCTCCATCAAACAATTCTCCCCTTTTTTTCTGTTCTTCCATTCCACCATCTGTTTTTTCTTGGGTGGTGCTTAGCATTTCTCTAACTATTCTACTTATTTCTTGCTTTATTTCATTAAATACTTCACTTTTGAACTCATCTATGAGGCTCCAGAGATATTGCTTTGTCTATTGGTGCCGTGTCTGATATTGCATATTTTCTGTCCTCATTCTCCTTTGCATTTACCTTTCCTGGATCAGTGTTCTCAGGATTGGGGACTGAGGACCCTTTCGTGTTACTCCCTCTTCCCATACTTTTTGTTCCTTCCATACAAGCGTATATAGGAGGCCCAGTTTCTTTCTTTGTTGGTTACAGTTTCTTTGAATATGCTGGCTAGGTGTTCCCGCCCACTGCAGTGTACTAGGGAGACACAGACCTGGGCAGCCTCTGCTGGGCCTGCCCTTCTAGGTCAACCTACAGAAAGCCTCACTGCTAGGGTGCACTGCCAGGCTCTGGGACCTGGTTTGGGCTAGCCTACTGGGTCTTAGTCAGCGACGTCACCCAGGTCAAGCACTCCCCACCAATCCTGCTTTAGAGGGGAATATGTGACTAAAGTCACTGCAGCGTGCTGTTTCGGCTAGCCTGCCCGGTCCTGGAATGTCCCCTTTTGGAGCCTCCTACTCTATGGAAGGGTCCCCGTTCCTCTCACTCACCACGGGCCGATGTAGGGCTCCCCGCCAGTCCCACTCTCAACTCCGTTTGCCAATTCCTGCTGTCAGAGCTTTCACGCGTCTCTCTCCCTGCTGTGCCAATTGGGACACAGTAGCGGTGGCAGCAGGAAATTCAAATCGTGATTTCCAGTGGTGCGGGTTCCAGCTTCCGCGCTGAGATTTTATCTGTTCTGGTTATAGCATCTGGGATTGTATTTCCAGTTGGTTTCTCTCAGCTCAGTTCATTCCTGGGTTGGCAGGGTATATCTCCCCTTGCTTAGGAGTCCTCACAACGCACCATTCCTGGATTCTAAGCTGGCTATCTCAGAGAGCCTACAAAGCTGCTGTTATCTATCCGCCATGTTCTCCCAGAAGTCATAATCTCATTTTTTATTTGCTAAGTATTTGACAGGAACGTTTATTTGACCCAGTTCTGTTGTGCCTCGAGGTGCCCACTCTCCCCGTGCAGTTTAGGTCTCCCGAATGCTCACTTGGGCCTGAAACAGAAGTGCGTCCTGCATCTGCTCCCATGAAGTCACTGGAAAACTTCAGCCATCGTGTGGGCTTCACCAATATTCTCTTTACTCCCCAAGACCTGGCTCCAATTTGTAAGCATCTGAGAGAAACTGTGTGTGCACAGGTCTACACAGAAACCTTCTGGGTCCCCAAAGTGAGTCTCTGGCCATTCTGTTCCTTCCCGATGGATGCTGACGAAGAACATGCAGGCACAAGAACAGAGGAAGCCAGTGGGATTTCACACGTGTGTCTGATGTACACTCGTCCAAATGTTCATGAAGTCCTGCAGGACTGCTGCAGACACAAAAAGAGCAGTTTGGGGTGATGGCCCACATCTGTCATTCCAGCCCTCTGAGAGGCTGAGGCAGGAGGATCTAAAAGTTTGAACCTATCCTCGGCCAAAAAATGACTTAGCAAGACCCTGTCTCAAAATTTAAAAAAAAGTAAAATAAAAACAAAGATGTGGGCATAGAGAATGCCTGTAATCACAGCATTTGGAAGACTGAGGTGGGAGGATTGCCATGAGTTCGAGTCCAGCCTGAACTTGTAATGAATCTTTGTCTCCAAAACCAAAAAAAAGCTTTTAAAAATCTGGGGATGTAGCTATAATTTGTAATTAGCAGATCACACTCATTCACCAGATCACAGGCCGAGCAGAGGAGCAGAGCTAAATAGATAGTGTTGCATGAAGGTAGCAGACGAAGTTTTCCTTTCTTTTCTCTTGTCCCGTCCGAATCCCCAGCAAGCCTGAGTCGCGTGCATCTTAACACATTTTTCTCTTACAAGAAATCACAGAGGAACACGCAGGGCCATCACACCAAGTGGTCAGAGCATGCGCACAGGACGAAATTCTTTTAACTTGCTTAAGAAGAGGAAGTTTGTCGGGCACCTCACCACTGCACGCGGCGCCCCGACCTCGCTCGGGAGAATGCGGGGCTGCTGGAACAAACTGCTCTTCTGGGGTGTCTTTTCTTCGCTCACATGTATGCCCACTGACCATCTGGAGCCTTGACTGTCCAAACCAGAAGCTGGAAAGCAAGCTTTCTCACATTTCTTTCTTTTTTTTCTATTTTTTTCTCTCTCTTTTTCAGTTTCAAAAGCTCTACTGGGTTGTAAAACCATGAAAAATCCAAAAGGTAAGTTTCATTTACTTCTTTCTCCTTAAAGCCATTTTTAATGAAATATGAGTATCCATTGATAATTTGTATTCGGCTTTTCTTTATTTTATGGTGCTGGAGACTGAATCCAACCAGTCCTTTTTATTTTATGCTGAGAAAGGACTCCTCTAAACTACCCAGGCTGACCTTGAATTTGCAATCCTCCTGCCTCAGCCCCTGCAGAGCTAGTTACGCCCAGCTAGTTTTTCTAAGCCTTTAGATGAACAACTAAAGATTTTAGGGACAGAGGTTGAGCGTTTAGTTTTCTTCCTCTGAGATTTGATAACAAAGCACTGAGACTTTTAGAATAAAATTTTTCTAATTTGTGGCATTTTGTTTTTCAATGAACCTCTAATCTCAGAGTAATGATTCAAGCAATATTAGCAGTGTACACTGGGAGACAGTCTATCAGCAAGAGACCCTGGACCCACCATTTACCAGCTGCCAGATGGCGGGACACACAGTGTCGCTACTTTACACAGAATTTCTTTCGTCTGTGACGTGACGGAGAGTGGAGGCGACCCTTGTCATTAGCCCTATATGAAATCAAAGCATTGTTGCCCTTCCTCCAATCCCACATCCCTCTCCGTTTCCAGAAGGACAACACCATACAGTCCTGTTTCACTTGGTGGGGTTATTTGTTTCATTCTTGTTTTTCGTTTTTGGCGCTGGGTATGGAACTCACAACCTCCTGCTTGCCAGGCAGGTGCTAATGCCGCTGAGCTGAGCTATATCCCCAGCTGTTCTACTTTGTTTTTTGATACAGGGTCTTGCTATGTATTCAGACGGGCCCTGAACTCACTGTGTAGCCCGGCCTGGCCTTGAACTCACAGTGATCCTCCTGCTTCAGCCTCCCGAGTGCTGGGATTACAGGCATTTTTAATAGCATATGGTAGATAGCTTCTTAAGTAGCAAATGCAGATTTTTTTCATTCTGACAGCTGTATTATACTTACTGATACTCAGCCTTCCCTGATTGAGGTGTTTTGAAAAGATGTTTTAGTTTTTCTTTCCTTTTCTCCTTGAAATAACATGGATTTGGAAGGAAAAGAATAATTCTCAGCCATGCTTTATTTGACTGTGTCCTTACTGACTGCCCCACTTTTCTTGTGATATGAACCGAGGGCAGCAGACATTGCTGCAGAGTCATCTTTGGTGGGGATAGGAGGGTCGAGCGCTCTCTGTTGGGTAAAATCCTAGAAGTGAGGCTGCCAGGTGGAAGGACCTATACGCTTCAGTTGTCACGAGGGCTGCGCTGCGGCCAGGCCAGGCTGCCCTGACACGTGGTCACGGCGAGTGACCGCCCCACCCCACGTCCAATCAGCGAGGACATTTATGCCAATAAGATGAGTGAAGACCGCTGTTGCAGTGATTCGATCTGCAGTGGCCTTGTCACCTGTAAAGCTGAGGGTCTTTTTCATGTTCACTGGCCACGAAAGGTCCAGCATTCCTAGGCGGAGGAAACTCAGGAGGAGCTGTCTGGTTGGAGAGGGACCTGCGGTCTTGCTTTGAAGCTGAAATCAATGAAAGACCAGGAAGTATTGATAACGCAGATCAAACAGTGGGGGCAGTCGAGGGTATTTGGGAGCAATGTAAATGTGCCTCACCCACGCCATCTGCTGGTGGCTGCGGTACTGCATTTACCAGCCCCTTGCGTGTCTTCGAGAATTACCTGTTCGTACTATGTGCCCATTTACTAGAGCTGTCTCTTATCGAATTTCCTTGGGTTTATGTATTATTTAAAATCCTTTGGTCTTATTTATGGTTTAAGTGTTTTTTTCTAAGTGTCACTTGACTTTTAATTTTGCCATAGTAAAGTTTTTAGGTTCTAGAGTAGTCAGTATTTTCAATCTTTTGATTATGGCTCCTATTTTTTGTGTCTTACTTAGAAGATCTAATCTTAACATGATGTAAAAAAGAAGTTCTTGGGGGCTAGGGATTTAGCAGAAGCCGGGGTAGACTGGGATGTCAGAGGGAAAAAAGAAAGGTTGGAGCAGGGCTGGGGGTTTAGCTCAGTGGCATAAGCACCTTCCTTGCAAGCAGGCAGTCACGAGTTTGATCCCTGGTACTGATAAAAAAATGAAAAAGACAAAAAAAAAAAAAAAAGGTTGGAGTTCTACCAGGGAAAAAGAAAAGTTCCATGAAGTTTTGCTTTTAGTTTACTTTTCTTTCCTGCTCCTGGGGATGAAGCTCAGGGTCTTCTCAGGGAACTACATTCCCAACATTCCCATTTCTATTTTTTAGTTTCAGGTAAGGTCTGGCTAAATCACCAAATTGCCTTGGCTGGGCCCAAATTTGTGTCACTCCTGCCTGGGCCTACCACAGTGCTGGGATTACTGGGTGTGTGCTACACACTAAGGTGATTATTTTTTATTGTTGTTGTTGCTATTTTTGTTTTTTGTCTTTTTCTTTATTTTGTCTTTCTTTTGAGATAGAGTTTCAGTATGCAGTTCAGGCTGGCCTTGAACTCACTTTGTAGCCCAGGCTGGCCTGGAACTTGCAGTGGTCCTCCTGCCTCAACCTTGGCACTTGTGGCCTGAAAGGGGAGTTGGTGGGCTGCTGTGGTGAGTGGCTACATGATAGGTAAAACTATTTTTTTTTTTTGTCTTTTTCCTTTTTATCGGTACTGGGGATCAAACTCACGACTGCCTGCTTGCAAGGCAGGCGCTTATGCCGCTGAGCTAAATCCCCAGCCCCTGATAAAACTATTCTTAAACTCAGGGCTGATTGTTTCAAAGTAGATGCTAAGAAAAATCAGTATTAGCATGTTAGTTATGGCAGTGGCTTCATGGGGTTGGTCTTAGGAGACAGTTCTGTGACCTGCGTGCTTTTCCTCCTGGCCTCCTGGCCCCTGGACTCCATGTTAGTGAGGTATGACAGGAATGACTCCATTTTGTATAATTTTCACACTGCGGTTGGTAAAGGAGTGGCTGTGGCTCCTGTCCACCATTCTGGGGTGTAGAGAACCCTTTCCCATCCTTGCTGTGCTTCAGGAAGGTTTATATCTGTAATCCCATGGAGAAGTTACTGGAATTCTAGCAAGTTAATTCCAATCTACCACCTCCAGTGCAACCCAAGGTGAGAATAAAGACACTGAGACATAGATATGTAGTTAAGGGGAACCAAGGGGGCTCCAGCCAAGATGGAGGTTCATCAGAGCAAAGGCCTCGCCCAGAGCCCAAACCGAGTTTATTAATTCCCCATGAGGGAGTGGCTCAGGGAGAAGTGACAGGGAGAGTGGCAGGAAATGCGTGACTACAGCCAGCTGGGTTAGGTAGGAGTCTGAGGTCACTGACTCTGCAGTAAGCAGCGAGCAAGAAGTGCAGAGAGAGAGATCTGCGTAACACAGCTGAGGTGGTTTCTAATAATCTGGGGTCAGAGCTTCAGTCCTGATGTACGATCCTTTTGTCCTGATGTACAATCCTTTAGCGTCTTTCTCGAGGTTTGGTCCCAGCTGATGGTGTGGAGCACGGCTCTCCATCCCGCCTGGCTCAACCTCATATTTGGGGAGTCACTGTCACTTTGCTTCAGAGATGACATACCAGCTCCTCAGCCAGCCCAATGTACATTGCTTAAAGCCAGTTGACAAGACAAACAGCCCAGTCAGCTCTGTACATATTGATACTTGGAGATAATTGCTCTTCTTTTCAAAGAGAGTCATCTGGGTGGTTCCCCACACTGGGGGAACTCGAGGCCAGTTCTGTGGCTGGACATTCCTGTCTTTCCCTGTGTTTGGTGTGACCGTGCAGGGGTCCTGACTTTGTGTCCACGCCTCACTGTCATGGCGTGGCCAGGCGTGGTGTTGGTGGCCTACGGAATCACTCATGTTCCAGAGCAAAGCACCAAACCTCGCCAGGACAGGCCGGTTCCAGGCTGTCAGGGGCGGCTTTTCTCTTTTTCAGTATTGAACTTTATGGACAAAACAATGTGGAGCTGGGACTTGCTTTAAAAATAATGTCTCAGCTGGGTTTCTGCAGACTCAGTCATTTGAGAAAAAGAAATCGGTTTGCTTCAGCTCACCATTCTCAAGTGCTGCCTGGGACCAGGAGCATCTTGCTGGTAGCATCCTCAGAGGACACCAGGTGTCACCTGGCAGGGAACAAGCAGCACACCTGTGTGTGTCCTCTGGTCTCCCTCGTCTCATGAAGCTACCAGATTCGATTGCGGGGACCCATATCGGTGGCTTGGCCTAGCATCAAATCTCCTAAAATGAGTTACTGCGAAGGCTTAAATAAAAGGGACCAGTAAAATGGTGTGGAGGTCTGGGAAGGTCAGGTCTCTCTGGAGCATGCATATCTATTCCAAACACAGCAGTGGGATACTGAGATGGGGCAGGAACTGAGCAGGGCCTTGAGAGGTTTAGTGCAAAGACTACTCCAAGCAATATATTTCACCAGTGAAAAGAAGTGTTTTGAGCTGGACGTGGTGGCTCACACCTGTAATCCCAGCACTTGGGAGGCTGAGGCAGGAGGATCATTGTAAATTTGAGACCACCCTAGGCTACAAAGTGAGCTCAAGGCAGTCTGAACTGCATAGCAAGACCCTGTTTCAAAAAGACAAAAAAAAAAAAAAAAAAAAAAAGAGAGAAGTTACTTAAGAAATGGAGTGAGAGCCTGTGTCCTCCAGCTAACCCTTGTCTCTAGAGCACGGCGGTCAGCAGTTTAACCCTTACATAGCTCAGTCTCCAACAGTCTGAGTCTGGTGACCGTACTGAAACCTAGTCAGCTCCAGAGGCCTCCAAACATCACAGTGAGATTGTGTTCACCCCATTTATGCCTCACAGTAAGGATTCAACTGCAAGGTGAGATCAAGCCATAGCCATGACAGAAGGAATAAGATGAAATGGAATTGGTCATGAGCTGACCGTTGTAGAAGATGGGTGATAGGTGCAGCATAGGGGTTCCTGACATTGCCTTATGTGTGTTATATTGGAAACAGTTCAAAAGAAAAAAATTAAAGCCAGCCATGGTGATACACACCTGTAATCCCAGCACTCAAGAGGCTAAGGCAGGAGTTGGCAGTGAGCTGGAGGCCAGCCTGGACTACATAATGAGCCCAAGGCCAGCCTGAAGTACCCAGTGAGACTGTGTCTCAAAAAAAAAACCAAAACAATAAACGAAGCCAGGCGTGGTGGCGCACTCCTATGATCCCAGCACTTGGGAGGCTGAGGCAGGTGGATTGTGGCAAACTCAAGAGCAGCCTAAGCTACAAAGTGAGCCTAAGGCCAGCTTGAACTGCATAACAAGACCTCGTCTCAAAAAGACAAAAATAAATAAATAAATAAAATTAATTAATTAAAATAAATAATTATCCATCAACACAGGGTTTGGTCATAGAACTTGGAGCTGTGTTTATTTTTGTGATTGAACTCATGACCTTGCACTTGCCAGGCAGGTGCTTACACTACTGAGCTAAACCCCCCGCCCTGGAGCTATGTTTGTATTTCTAAGTCTGCCTAGTCTCCTTTTTCTTTTCTTTTTTGAGACAGGGTCTTGGGTTATAATTCAGATTGACTCTGAACTAACTATATAGCCAGGCTGTCCTTGGAACTTATGGAAATCCTCCTGCCTTAGCCTCCCGAGTGCTGGGATCACAGGCATTCATCAGCATGCTAGGCTGGCCTAGCCAATGTTAATGGAGCCTGATGCAGATTCACCCTGGTGAGACCGTCACCACCTCAGAAGGGTTTTCCTGTCTGCATCCGTCCCCGTGACTGCAAGGAGGCTCAGTAGTCAGGGGATGGATTGTCCTTGACAGTTGGCCCATGAACTGCGGCCAGTCATCACTAAGTCATTTCTAAGGATTTTTCACAAGGGCTGTTTCCTGCATCCTTTTGTTTTCCAGAATTCCCTTCTCCAAGTTTGAACTCAAGTACTCCTGTGATCACAGTGGGTCAGAATGTGTCCCTGTACTGTTCCCATGAGAACACATCACTGCATATCACTTACTCACTGTTTTTGCACAAGAAACACTTGGAAACCAAGAAGGGAATAGCAGAGTCGGTGATTTTCCACCACACAATCTCGAAAGCCAATGACTCAGGACCTTACAAATGCAAAGCTGAAGCTTTCAACTGCTCAAAATACAGTCCCGCCTTCTACTTCCTGTTGGAGGGTAAGTAGCTCACGCACTGCCCCGTGGCTCTGTGATTTGTGGCTTCTTTCCTTTTGCACAAAGGTCTGTGGGTACTCCTTGTACATCCTCAGGAGCCTGGTGTCATCTTTTGTCACCCTGACCGAATACCTGAGAAGACACCTTGAAGGAAGAGAATGATTTATTTTAGTTAGTTAGTTAGTTAATTTCATTTAAGCATTTTGGTCTGTGTTCAGCTGTTCCCACTGCTTTGAGGCCCTTGGTGAGGCGGGAACCTTTTAGAGGAAAAGTATGGCAGGAGAAAGCAGCTTCTTCTGGTCAGGAACACAGAGAGGGGGGCAGAGGGATGGAGAAGGGGTTGGGGACAAGGTCTGCTCTTCCACCTCATGCTCCCTGTTATCTGCCCCCTCCACTCAGCCCAGCTTCCGTCCCCAGCACCTCCCACTGTGCCACTAAGGTTGCCTCAAGGGTGACTTGCAGAGGAAGGAGAGCTGTCACATCTGATCCGCTACCCGGAGAACACACAAGACCTCGGAGGGACCTCCGAGATCTGAATCACAGCAAACCTGCCAGGTTTCCTCCTGAGCTCTTATTTTAATAATTCTATTCCATTTTATCCTTCACAGACTTTTGGACTATTCGAGATCACGGTCTTAGATTTTTAGGTAGAACTCAGATCTCTACGTAAAATTATTACATCTTTTCTAGATGCTTTATTGTATGATTCCCATCCTGTGTCCCACAAAACAACAACAAAAAGGCCTTTTTTCTCCTGAAGATTTAATGACGTATCCTGAGGTCAGTGTTTAGCTCCCAGAGAGAGCTTTGTAACCCCTACCCTTTCCCACCCTCTTCAACTTGCAGTCAGGTGCCTCCCTGGCCAGGGTTTTTCCCTCCTAAACACATCTTATCAATTCTGTATTTTTTTCTGCGATCTCCCCCCCAAGTATCTGATAGCCCAACACCAATGACCTCATTGTTTTGTTTTGTCTGTCTTTGTTTGTTTTTGAGGAAGGGTCTCCCTGCGTAGTTCACGCTGGACTTGAACTCACTATGTAGCCCAGACTGGCCTGAAACTCTTTCTGCCGCAGTCTCCCAAGTGCAGGGATTACAGCAATGCACCACCATGCCCCGTGATAGTCTGACCTTTGGAAAGTGACCTAGATAATGGACCCCTGTGAGACAGAGACAGAAAAATGTGTAATTATAACTGGAGCCTTATAAAGGTATAGACCACCACTTTCTTTTTTGTTTGGTAGTGGGGATCGAACTTACAACCTTGTGCTCGACAGGCAGGCATTTATACTGCTGAGCCAAATCCCCAACCTAGATCACCACTTTCTGATCAACTCAGTGATTCTCTATGTCTCACCTATCCAGGATGGGAGCCACTAGCCATATGTCACTATTTAAATATAAATTAATTAAAATTAGTGGTGTAGAAAGCTCCATTCCATGGTCTCATGAGCCACACTGCAATTGCTCAAAAGTCACAAGTGGCTGGTGGCTTTCCCATTGGACCACACACAGAACATTTCCATCACTATAGAAAATGCTATCAGACAGCAATGCTGAGGTCAATGATTCATAGCTTTAGGTCATAACTGTGTTAATAACCTGATGATAGTAGCTGATACTTTCCCCAGAGAAATGCTTATAAGATCATAGATACATACTTGTATAAACAGAAATTTTTGCAGAAGACTTTATACCAACTTTTTTTTTTGTACCAGAAATCAAACTCACAACCTCACACTTGTCAGGCAGGTACTGTGCCACTGAGCTATATCCTTGGCCCTTACAGAAGGCTTTAGTCAATGTTAAGAGTTCTAGATTAGAGCCAATAATCTTTTGCCATAAACTAGTAGAAATCACAATTTTCAGAGGCATAAGCATCAGAGGGAGAAAACCTTCTGCAAACACAGTACTGGACATAGAGGATAATGCCAGGGCACCAACTTAACTGATAATACTCTCTAGTGGTACGCAGTGAATACATGAAGCTGTATGGGATGGACCTTGGATGGTCCAAGGACCTGCAAGGAGGATAGTAAACTGAAGGTCACATGAGGGGAGGGGACTGAGAGGACAAGGACCAAGTTTTGAGGGCCTCAGAGCCATGAGAAGAGTTTAGATTCTGTTTGTTTGTTTGTTTTTGGTAAAGGGAACCAAACGCAGGGCTTTGCACTTACCAGGCAAGCGTTGTGCTATTGAGCTACATCCCTGGCTCAAGTTTAGATTCTTTGGAGCTACAGGGAAGTATTGAGATTCTATTTTTTGCTGCGCATGGTGGCCCATGCCTGTAATACCAGCACTCAGGAGGCTGAGGCAGGAGGATCATTTCGAGTTCGAGACCAGCCTGGGCTACAAAGTGAGCTTAAGGCCAGCCTGAACTGCATAGACCCTGTCTCAAAAAAAAAAAAAAAAAAAAAAAAAAAAAAGATTCTATTTTTCATTCTTGAAGTGAATTCATTCAAGGATGGAGGGGTTACAGGGTACAAGTACAGCAGATGATGGTATCCTGAGGTAGTGCAAGCTGCACCAGCATGCGACCAAGTGCTGGAGCGGGCAGAGGAGGAGGCGGCACTTTGCATGGAGGATTTAGGGCAGGTCTTAGGAGAAAGCAGCAGCCAAAGGAAAATAAAGAGCTCCAGAAGCTGAGGATTTAGCTCAGGGGCTCAAGCACTTGCCTGGTAAGTGCAAAGTCATGAGTTCCATACCTGGCACCAAAAATAAGTTAAGTAAATAAAATAAAGGGCTCCTTAAAGTTTATATGTAGCTAGCTAGATATCTATAAGCATATCTTGTCTATCAAACACCTGTCGGCCTTTCCTCTATCTGTCTGGACTGGTCTATTGGACATTATGACACTCACTGAAATTTCCTATCACAGATTATCTTGACTCTGTAAGGCCCTTAACCAGTCTGTCCAACTCTCAGGGAAGCCCAGAACTTTCCAGTCACTTTAGATATCAATCGTTGGTCCAGTTTCAATCATCCAGGCTCAGAGAAGCCCACACTCTGCTTCCTCATGAATGTTTCAATTTTTCTTTCCTGAAAAGTGCTGTGGCAGGGCTGGGGATTTAGCTCAGTGACATAAGTGCCTGCCTGGCAAGCTGGAGATTGTGAGTTTGATTCCCACTATCAAAAAAAAAAAAAAAGATTGAAAAGTGCTATGGTAGAATTCCCTTCCATTGCAAGATGTTCTATTGGTGTTAGTCTCAAACAAAGTTGCCATTTGTGGTTGCCGCCTCTAGGTGCCATTTTATCAGGGATATGGTCATGGAGAATCCTGTTCAGGAGAACTAGGAAGCAAGGAGATTATAAATTATTTTCTTTGAATTTACTTTATTTTGGTCCCCTTATTTTATTGTTTCTGTACCAAACTGATATTGTTTCAAAAAAAAATCATGGATTCTGGAGTCAGTTCCAACTGCCCTATTTTTATTTATTTTTGTATTTTATTTTATTTTTGGTACCTCGTGTTTGCCAGGCAGGCCTTAATCTGCTGAGCTAAACCCCTGACCCCCTACTTTTATTTTTAAAAACAGTCTCTTTAAGTCATTAAGTTGTCCAGGCTGGACTCAAATTTGAGATCCTCCTGCCTCAATCGAATCCCAGGGTTACAGACCACCACGCTCCACAAAGACAGGTTTTTCTTTTGTTTTTGCGAGAGTCTTGCTGTGTAGTTCAGACTGGTCCTGAACTCACTGTGTAGCCCAGGCTGGCCTTGAACATGCAACAGTCCTCCTGCCTCAATTCCCCAAGTGTTGGAACTTCAGACGTGCACCATTAAGCCTCGCCAGGGACAGGTTTCTTTAGCTTTTTGGAGCTCCGTAGGTCCATCTCCAGAGTGGGCAGAGAGTATAAACTTTGCAGTGCTGTGGGGACGGTCAAATAGAGCATGCGAGATGTGTGCCTGGCACATGGAGATATGCAGCCACTTGAAAGAGCATGCTAGTCTCTGGTGCTTCCGCTTGAGTGTTTCCATTGAGCCTATTTAGCAGTTACTTCTGCTTTTTTAGGAGAAGTGCAAGATAACTGCACAGCTGAAATCTATAAATGAAAATACAGTTAAGAGAACAGGATATTTTTGGTTTGAGAACAAAAGCACCTCAGTTCCTCAAAGAACGGAGGTGGGCCCCACCCACCAGCTTTCTCAGCACTTAGGCAGGCCACACTGCTGGGAATCAGCTCTGTCCCCCACTTGCCCTGCTCACCCTGCTGTGTCCTTCCTTGGGACAGGACCGTTCATCTTCGGGGCCACAGGCTGGGAAAGAGTAGGGGTTCTGATCCGTCTTTGTGACTGAGAGCTACCATCTGGATATTGTTTGCAAGTTTCCTCTGTGGTCCAGAAGATAAGTGCCCAGTGTAATGGTGCTGAGATGCGGATCTTTTTTTTTTTTTTCCTTTTTTCTTTTACCCCATGGTGGGATTGAACCACAGCCACCCCAGAGTCCATCCCCAGCCGTTCTATTATTATTATTATTAGTTATTTGCAACAAGGTCTCACAAAGACACTAAATTACACAGGCTAGGCTTGAACTTGTGATCCTCCTGCCTCAGCCTCCCAGAATGCTGAGATTACAGATGTGCACCACACACCTAGCTGAGGTGGTGAATCTTTAAGAGGAAGCATTTAAGGCAAGGTGATAAGGCGATGGGTCAACACCTGCCTAATCAATGAACATAGTTCAGGCAGAACTGAGTTACTTCTTGTGAGAACAGATAAAGAACAAAAAGAGCCAGCGTGGTCCCTCCCCCACTTCCTTGCACACGCGTGTGCCCCTTGTGCACATTGTTCTCTCCCTTTCGCTTCTCCCTCACATTGCCTGGTGCGTCCAGAGGGGCCCTCCCCAGAAACCACAGTGTTTGGACTTTCTAGCCGCCAGAATCGAGCCAAATGAGCCTCTTTCCTGTATACCCTTCCCAGCAATGGCTTTTTTGTCACAGCAGTACAGAAAGGGACAAAGGTGGAACCCTTCTGCTTAGCCCTTCAAGGGACACTTACATCCCTCTAGACCTGGACACTGCTGAATGCTGAACACTGAGGTCAGTGAAACACAGAGACCAACACGCAGCCAGACCCTGCAGTCCATTCGGCCCGCTCCTCTCGGTTATTATCCCCTCTGCCCCGAGCTCTGGACTGGCTTCCAGAAACCACAGCTGCCCCAGCACCCCCTGCTTCCACCCCCTGCTCCAAACGCAGGGTCCCCTCAATAAGGCCCGCACAACCCTGATGGAGTTGCTTTCTGCCATAAAGAACCACAGGAAGCTGCAAAACGGCTGACTCAACCCTGCTTTCTGTTTGCATTTTTTTCAAGGCTGCTAGGTCTATGTTTGTTTGTTTTCTGCTTTTCTATAATTTTTGTTGGCTTTTTTTCTGCTGCTGGAGACTGAACTCAAGGTTGCTCTGCCACTGAGCTAGATCTTTAACCTTTTTTCTTTTTCTTTACTTTCTTTTTTTTTTTGAGACAGGTCTCCCCATGTTGTCCAGGCTGGCTTCAAAACTTACAACCCAGGACTGGTGTGGTGGCTCATGCTTGTAATCCCAGCACTTGGGAGGCTGAGGCAAGAGGATCGTTGTGAGTTCAAGACCAGCCTCAACTACAAAGTGAGCTCAAGGCCAGCCTGAACTGCATAGCAAGACCCTGTCTCAAAAAGACAAAAACAAAACAAAACCCTTACAACTCTCCTGATTCAGCTTCCTAAGTAGCTAAAATTATGAATATGGCCACCATCCCTAGAGTTTTTTTATTGACTGCTAATCCTGTATTCTTTGCTGTTTATTGGCCCACTGCTAATGTCTGGTGAATATAGACTTTTTAAAAAACCTTTTTGAGACAAGATCTCAGTAAGCAGTTCAGGTTGGCCTTGGGCTCACTTTGGAGCACAGGCTGGCTTTGGATTTGCCTGAGTCTCCTGAGTGGTGGGGTCGTTATTATTATTATTATTAATATTTTGTCTTTTTGAGACAGGGCCTCACTATGTAGTTCAGTCTGGCCTTGAACTTGCTGTGTTGCTCAGGCTGGTCTCAAACTTGCAATAACCCTCCTGCCTCAGCCTCCCAAGTGCTGGGATTACAGACAGGCGCCACCATGCCAGGCTCAAAATTCTTATTTATTATTTCTAGGATATTTACATTTTATTTTATTTTTATTATTGTTATTATTTTTGGAGGTAATCTTTTTTTTTTTGGTACCAGGAATTGATCTCATGACTGTGTACTTGCCAGACAGGTGCTTTATACCATTGAGCTAAATCCCTGGCCTCCAAGTGCTGGGATCACAGGAGTGTGCCACCATTCCTGGTGAACATGGACTTATTCTAGCATTTCCTTTGACTTGGAGTGAAAGGGACCTTTTACTATACTTATGTTTGGGGGGCTTTGTGCTTTCCTATATAGGCTGAGGAGTCTAAGGGGCCATGGAAATGTACCCCATTTTTGCACTCCTCAGTCTGGACACTGTACCATAGTTCCTTACTCAGTCAGGTCAGAGCCCACCTCCATGGTTTTCCAACCCTCCTCCCCATTTGGTCTCTCATGGGATGAGCACGGTGAGGTGGTGAAGGCTCCGGGGAGCTGTTTGTGGGTGGCATTTGGTTGTATAGCCCGGGGGTCCACGTGCATGGGAGGCCCTAAGGTTGCAAGTGTAAACAGGTAGAAAGGAAGACAGGCTGGAACTTCAGCTGTGCATTAGCTTTTTGTTGCTGGGACAAAATATCTGACATGGGAAATTTAAAGGAAGAAAGATTTATTTGGTGTTATGGCTTGTGTCTGGATGTCCCCCCAAAGCCTCACTTGGTCATAGGTGGGCTTCTTCAGAGGTGGCTGCATCCGGGTCTGCGACACTGGGACTGATTCATGGTGCAATGCTAATCAAGGGCACTAGGATTAAGAGTGTGAGTGCTACCCGCCCTAAGTAGCCTGGATAAGATAAAATGGGCAGAAAGGCACTATCAAGGTCCCTTGTTGCTTTGCTATCTTTTGCTCACCATGAACGGTTCTTGCCACCCCACCCTGCCATGGAGCTAGCTGGCTTACTATGGACTGAAACCTCTATAGACTGCGAGCTAAGTAAACCATTTTCCCTTTAACTGTGGGTGTCAGCAAAAAGAAAAATAACGGACTTTTTAGTTCATGGCTGCAGTCCATGGTTAGCAGACTCCAAGGCAGAAACATTACAGCAGAAGGAAAACCCCTTACTGCGTGGCAGCTGGGAAACAGGATGGGCGAGAGAGCCAGAAAGGAAGGAAAGTCCTTTGGACAGGAATGCACCTTCCAGCAGCTGTCCGTTGTGGACTTCTTCCTCCAACAGCACGTTCATTCCGCAGTGAGCCCGTCCACACAGTGATCCCCTGATGAGGTTACTACCCCTGCTATCTGATCACTTCCCAAGAGCCCCACTTCTGAACACAGAAGCCTCTGGGGGACATTTTTGGTCCAAACCATAACAGGGTGGCTCTCCCCACACTGCCGTACCCTGGTACAGAGATCTAAAGAAGCTGAGAATTCCGGATTGAAATCTGACCTTCCAGGTACATTCATCAAGCCAAGAGAAAAGAGACCAAAAACATGCGTACCTGGGCACTAACCACTCCTCAGAGAATAGAGCCCAGACACTGGCGTTCAGTATGTTCTGTGCAAGGAGGCAGCCTGCAGGAGCCAGGCATTTAGCTATAATCATGGCTTCTCTGGGTACTAGCTGTGTGACCCAGAGTAAAGTGCTTAAATTTGTTGAGTCTTAGCGGAGCATGCCTGTAATCCCAGCCCTCAGGAGGCTGAGGCAGGAGGATCCTTGCAAGTTTGAGACTAGCCTGGGGTACACAGTGAATTCAAGACCAGCCTGAAACTGCATGAGTGAGGCCCTGTCTCAACAAAGAAAAAAACAAAACAAAACCCCAGCTTGCTGAATTTTTCTCTCCTGTCTCTAAATGGGAGGGACGCCAACGATATAAATAAAGCTATGCATATAAAATGCTTTACACAGGGTCTGATCTTTAACCAGCACTTCATATTGAGTAGAGGTGGAGGGATCCAACTCATGCCAGTGCAGCCAAGGACTTTGCCCCAGAACCACCCAAGGCCTTACTTGCCTCGTGCCTGTGGAAGAGCTTTGGAAACTCAGGGCCTGACCAGCCAATGCTCCTGGATTGCCTGTGTCTGTTGGGGCTCAGGGTCTGGTGCTCAGCAGGCTGGCTGCCAGGTCCATGTCACTGGAGAGCCGTGCGGTGACCACTGGTCTGTCTTCTTCCAGAGAGAAACAGCTGTCCTTTGTGCCTGCTGCTGATGCCGATTGCAGTATTGATTTTGGTGTTGTTGGCAGCAGTCCTCCTCCTGGTTTGTTTGATACCAAAATACAAAGCAAGTATGTTCCTTACCACTGTTTCCCCACAGGCTTGGGAGACGACAGAGGGCAGAGGATGAAGGGAAGGGAAGGGAAGTCAGAAACATAAGGAGGAGAAGAAAATGAAGGGGGACATGAGACAGACTTCCTGGGTGGCCAGCACGCAGGACAGTCGTCAGGTCCCAGCAACAGCCTTTCCTGATGTGGGCTACAGGTGGGGCCACATCAGGATGGGAAAAAACCAGCGTGGCTACCCAGTCTCTGCCCAGGACAGAGCTGAGACTTGCTTAATGCTCACCTGCCACTGCCTTGAAATTCTTAGCACTTTTTGTATTCTTTTAAAAATTATTTGTAGGACTTGGCATATAGCTCAGTGGCATAAGCGCCTACCTGGCAAGTGCAAGGTCCTGAGTTCAATTTCCAGTACAAAAAAAAGAAACAATTGTAGACAATGGTATATAGAACATGAAATTTGCTCCCCCCCCTCCCAAAAAAAAAAAACAGTCTCGTTTGTACTTCAGGCTGGCACTGAGTTCATTATATACCCCAGGCTGGCCATGAACTCTCAGCAATCCTCCTGCCTCAGCTTCTCAGTGCTGGGATTACAGATGTGCTCCACTATACCTGGCATCAATATTCTTAAATATTTTTTGTTTTTGTTTTTTTATGGGTACCGGGGATTGAACTTTGACCACGTGCTTGCAAGGCAGGCACTTATGCCGCTGAGCTAAATCCCCAGCCCCAGCATCAATATTCTTAATTATTGCTGAAACTGAACCCAGCTGGGTTCCTACATCTCCTGAAGATGTCATAAAGTGTCTTACAGATTCTTCTATCTGTCTGACTTTTCCACGAAATCTAATGGGGAAAGCATGTTCCCCAGAGGTCCCAGGAGTGAATTGGGTGGGGGAGGCCCTGCGTGCAGGCATTTAGACAAATCTATGGTCTGTCCCTACTAGGCAACAGTTTAGTTGCTGGGGTGCATCAGTCACCCTTTCGGGGGGTTCTGCTGGTTGACAGAAGAGGCAGAGAACATGTGTCTGAATTGGCTCAGTGTGATGATTTTATACCAATTCATGTAGGAAAAGCTTTAAGAGATAATGCGCCCACGAACCCTGGAGATACCCCCACGGAAGGCCACATGTACGAAAATGTCTATAAACATCAAGCAGGTAGGAGAACACTGTTGATTGGGTCTTTGTCTTTTTTTTTTTTTTTTTTCTTTTTGGTACTGGGAATTGAACCCAGGATCTCATGCTTGCCAGGCAAGTGCTGCATCACTGAGCTCTATCCCCAGCCCAGATTCTTGTCTTTTTAAGGTTCATGCAATGCCAAAGGAATAGAGTAGGATGTCTCCCCCATCCAGATGTCCTGTCTCGCTTTCCACGGCCAGGATGGTTGTTTAAATCCTCCTATAGACGTTCTCTTTGTCTGCTGGCTCTGAGTGACATTCACCCTCATGCAAGGCCATTTATCCTCATTTTTTTCACATAACTTGGAGATTTTTTTGTATCAACTCAGTATTACACATTGCGTTCCAAAGTTTTCATGATAATATCTTTTTAAAGGTATAATATTTCATTTGTTTACTATTTATTTGTATTTATTTATTATTTGCATGTATTTATTTATTTATTATTTTTTTTGAGACAGTGTCTTGCTATGCAGTTCAGGCTGGCCTTGAGCTCACTTTGTAACCCAGGCTGGTCTTGAACTCACAACAATCTTCCTGCTTCAGCCTCCCGAGAGCTGGGATTACAGGTGTGCACTACTATGCCCTGTTTAAAGATATTTTCAAATGTATTTTAATTGCAAATAAAAGCAGTAAGTCAGATGAGATGATGTATGCATATAATCCCAGCCACTGGGGGTGCTGAAGCAGGAGGATCTTAAATTTTAGGTAGTTCAGTTGGGTAACTTAGCAAGCCTGATTAAAAGTAAAATTACAGCTGGGTACAGTGGTGCACGCCTGTAAGCCCAGCACTTGGGAGACTGAGGCAGGAGGATTACCTCAAGTGTGAGGCCAGACTGGGCTACATAGTGAATTCGAGGATAGTGAACTACATAGTAAGACCCTGTCTCAAAAATAAATAAGTAAATACAAAGGCAGGGAATGTAGCTTAGTGGCACAGTGCTTGCCTAAGATGCACAAGGACACTGGGTTCAATTCCCCAGCTGAGGGAAAAAGTCATGTATGATATGTTATTTTGAAATACATGTACGTTAGTTTTTTGTTTTGTTTTTGCAGTGCTGGGAATCAATCCAGAACCTCATACGTAGTAGGCAAGTGTTAGTGAGAGCACTTAAAATCTGCCACTGCCTTAGTGATTTTCAAGATCTGGTGGTACCTTTGATTTGGTTTGGTTTGAGTATTAGGGATTGAGCTGAGGCCCTTTACACGCTGAGCTACGACTTCGATTTTTAAGTTTTAGTTTTAAACCCCAGTTGTTATTGAAAACACAATAATGGGTTTCTTTTCTTTTTTTTTTTTTTTTGGTACCGGGGATCGAACTCAGGACCACGTGCTTGCAAGGCAAGCGCTTATGCCACTGAGCTAAATCCCCAGCCCAGTTCTTAAGTTTTTAAAAAAAACTTTGGAGACAAAATTGCCGCGGTCACCGGCCAGTGCCTCGGTCACCGTGCTGCAGCCCGAGCTCGCCTCTGCAGCGGGCATCGCGGGCGCTTTCTGGGGAGGCAGGCGCAGGGCCGCGCTGACCTTGAGCTCCATCCTGACCCACGCTGACCGCGCCTGCCACGTTCAGAGCGCAGCCTCAGAGCTTCCCCGCCCCGACACAGTCCCCCAGCCTCCGAGGCTCGACCTTCAAGTTTTGCACATGCAGACCCCAGGCCGAGGTGGGGTCAACGGCCAAGGGCCTCTGCCAAGCTCACCGCCTTGACGCCACTGCCCCCGTGTGGTCGGAGACTCGCAGGACTGGCCCGGTAACCGCGTCTTCTGCCCCGCACAGGACGCTCGCAGGAAATACATTACGCTGTACCCGTGTTCCAAGAATCGGTCCCCAGAGAGCAAGGTGAGCTGCAGCTCTGCATGACAGAGGTCACTGAGGTCCCCATGACATCACCGTGACCCTGGGCTTTGGACCAAGGGTGGGGACACAAGGGCACCCCCGAAAGCCGCAGCATCCAATAGCTCAGCTCTCAGTAAACTCTCTGGGGAAGAGAGGGACGGGTGGGGATGCACGGTCCCCAGGAGGAGGGCGCAGTCACTGTTGCACTAAATCATTGCCAAGAATGAATGATTTACCTCAGTCTAGGGGGGGAAAAAGCCCAAAACAACTAGTTAGTATTTGGTTTTGTCAGGCCACCCAAATTCTAGAAACAGAATTTCCTTTTGGAGACTTTCTGGACACATATCCTAAGTTTACTAGATTTTTCCCCCCCTCTTTGTATTTCAGAAGCCTCTGCTGATTGTAAAACTGGTTATATCTATTCTGAGCTCACCTTTGACACATAAAGCAACCATGTCAGTGTCAGACACGTTTTTGAAGGTGATTTACAAGAACACAGAGAAAATTCATTTGGCACTTTAAAAAGTCTGGTTTAAACCAGGCCTGGTGGAGCATACCTGTAATCCCAGCACTCAGGACACTGAGGCAGGAAGTTTGACAGTTTGAGGCCAGCCTGGGCTATGTAGCAAGTTTGAAGGTAGCATGGACTAAAACTCTCTCAAACAGGCAAATAAAAAACAAAAATAATTAAAACTATCTACAGTGGTCACTTGAGGTGAATCTTTGTTTTGCACATTGAGATGTTATTCCTCTGGCTCTTCTGTGTACATCCAATCTTGTCATCAGACAACATCTTGGTGAGTGGGACACCACAGTGTGAGGATTACAGGCATCTGCCACCACATCTGGCTTCCTTCTGTCCTTAGCACGTTTGCTACTGAAATTTAGGGTCCTGGGGCAGGTGTGGTGGTGAGCACTTGTGATCTCACGACTTGGGAGGCTGAATCCGGTCTAGACAACATAGTGAGACCCTGGAGAGAGACAGCCAGATTGATTCAGGGGCCACCCGGATAATCCAGGATGGTCTCAGGACCCCTTTCTCAAATAGTTACCTTTACAACTTCCAGGAGTCAGGATGTTCACTTGTTTTGGGGTGTCATCATTCACTTTTTATAGGAAACAAAGTAATTCCTAGTTAGAGTCTCTCAATCTAGGCATTAGAAATAAAGTTTAATAAAAGTCAAGAGACATTTCTAGGGATCCAGAGAAACAAAAAAATATGAGCAAAATATTTCTACTCTGTTCTTTATTTGGAGGTGGCTTGAACCTCAGTCCTAATCATTCCTGACAATAAACTTCCAGCTGGCCAAACCACAGCCATCGTCACCGAGACACTGACTCCATAGCGACTGCCTACAAGGTCAATGCTATTAGTTTGCTTTTGCAAGTAAGGAAACATAGATGAGTGAAGCCGCTTGACAAGGTCACCACAGCTAGTTAAGTGGCTGAACTGGGAGTTAAATCCTAGCAAATAAAAGCAAATGTGCTAGTCCTAAGAGTGTCCCTTCAGGGTGGGCAGGGACACACAGGTCTGGGCCAATTTGAAGATCTCACAGTCATTGAGCAGCATGCATGACCATCATTCCTCCCTTTTTCTATTGATATTTTTATTTGGGGAAATTAATCTATTATGCAGAGTAACAGGGTGGAGCTTCCTGAGAGAAAGTAACCTGAGCTAAGTCTAGGCTCAGGCCTGTGCTATGTGGCTGGTGATTCTGGCTGAGTGTCCTAACCTCTCTGGCCTTTAGTGCCCTCATTAGTAAGGCGGTGGGATGGGTGATACCCACATCGAGATCTGTTGTAAGAATGAACTTGGGGAATGAACGGAGAGGGCCAGGAAGAGGAGTATTTAAGAGAAACTTGTGAAGAGACCAGCTATTCCAGAGGTGACACTTGCTTCCTCGGTCACGCACTAATGGGCCACCATGCCTTGATGTCACAAACTTGGCAACTTGACCACCACTGGCTTCGTCCTTTGTCTTAACCCGATTCCCTCCTCAAGCACAGCCTGAGACCAGGACAGGGCACCGGGAGTCTAGCTAATAGGAAGCGATCCCAGGGTGCAGGAGAGAGGGACGGGGAGACAGAGACAGGGAAGGAGAAAGAGCCAACATGAAGATGCGCTGGACCTCACGGCCATGGGGGGCTGACTTGAATTCCATTAAGACCTTCTGAGTCTCCAGTCCAGGATGCCTCTCAGGAACATTTGTTGGAGGATGGACAGGGGAGACATTTAGGAACCAACATCCTCCTACTTCAGGGTTCCCTAAGAAAGTGCATGCGCCAAGGACAGGTCTTTTGGCCCCATCAGAGTGCGGCAGAGCACAGAAGATTTGCATTCCGAGCGGGGTGCTCTGATTGCAGAGTGAACCCAGCCCACGCGGGGATGTCCCCACGGCTGCGGTGGGGTAGAGGCAGTACTCAAGGGACACCCACGTGCCTCCACCCGCCTTCTCTCAGCTGACCCATGCCCCTGTGACACTAAATCTGCCCTGTGTATCCCAGGAAGTGCCAGTCCTCATCTCCCCGCCAAAACTTCACCCCGGTGGGTTAATGGAAGGACTTAGGCCCTACGTGTTCTTCCTACCCTCCTGCTCGGGGCTGGTGATTTAGCTCAGCGGCATAAGCGCCTGCCTTGCAAGCAGGCAGTCGTGAGTTCGATCCCTGGTACCGATAAAAAACGAAAAAGATTTTAAAAAAATCAAATAATCCTACTCTCCTGCTCCGTCATCCATTTCTAGATTCTCTTCACCCTCAGTCCTGCTGATCTGCATGGCTGGGGTCACCCAAATCATCTGGCCCATAGGATCTGAGCCTCTGTTTACCTGCCCGTGCCAGGCCATGGTGGCTGCATTTGCCATTTCCCGTTGTCACTGGACATGGAAATGTCAAAAGATGTCCCCTCCCCAGTGAATTCCTGGACGTGTTCCCCTCCCCGCCGCCACTGTGGCTGCTCATGGGTCCACATGGCACCAGGGTAGCCGCCTGGCCCATAGCCACCCCCAGATGGTGTTATCCCCTGGTTGGTAAGTGCCTCTCGGGTGAGCAACAACACAGGACAGGAGGGTCCCCACGCTTCCCTCTCCTCCCCTGGGCTGTTGTCCACGCTGTCTGTGCTCCCTGTCCTGCTCTCTCATCTCCTGATCCTGCTCCTTCCTGCCATCCCTGAATCCACCCGCTGAGCCACACACCACATCCAGGCGTGAGAGCGGACTCTCCCGGGCGCTGCGTTAGCCCTGCCTGAGGGAAAGATCCCTCCTCTCCTTCCACCTGCTGGGCTGGCCTGATGGAGACCAGCAGTGTCTATCTTTGAATCTCAGCAAAATATCAGGTCAACCAAACCAAGCCAGGTTTCCTTCGGTGAGTCACAGGCAGACAAACAGGCAGGTGACAGGGAGTCTGTGCCACCTGTTCCTGTACCTTGCTTTCTGCCCAGGGGATCTGTGAGGGCCCAGTGCTAAATGTCCCACTGCCCTTACACAATGGATCATTGGTTTTTCACCCCATCTTTTCCTTAGAGCAAAGAATCTTCCACTGCCAGTGGGCATCTCTAGTCACATAGTCACTCAATGTCCTGGGCTCGAGTATGTGGGCTCATGGAGGGCCCCAGTGGCACGCCAGGAGCTGTGCTTCAATTGGTAAATTTTTCCTAGGGGCAGATGGCACTGCTGCAGAGCTGGTGAGTCAGTGCTGGCTGTTTCCATGCTGATTTATCACAAATTCTTCTGCCAGGTCGGATGGCCTGAGGAGCAGGGCAGCTAGACAGAGCCTGGGTGTGACTCACACTCAGAACTTGCAGCCCCCACCAGGTGTAACACCAGTTACATGCCTGTAACACCAGCACTTTGCAGGACTACGAATTTGATCCCACCATGAGCAATTTAGCAAGTTAGTGAGACTCTGTCTCAAAATTTAAAAATTAAAGAGCTTGAAGATGTAACTCAAGGCAAAGGTCCTGGTTTAGTCCTCAGTCACGCACACGCACACACACACACACACACACACACACACACACACACACATGCACGCAGGCACCCCCCCATCAATGTCCCTTTAGATAGTATTGTAATGAGTTGGAGAGAGTTACAGCTATACTGGGGACAGCTGTGTGTCCTTTTCAAGTGACTTCAAACTGCTTTAAATTTTCTGATAAGAATTGAAGAGAACGCATTTGCCGGATTGAGAGCTGTGCACCATGAGTACAGGTCATATTGAATCATCCAGCATAGCAGCTCAGGGTGCGGATTGATGGAACCTCCTGTCGTCTGCCACGGTGCCTCCAGTGTCTGCAGTGGCCACACTGGTGAACTCCGAAGCTATGGAGATCTGCAGTCCCTGACGGTGACCCTGGTCTCCAGAGTTCTCCCCAGAATCTAGGATTGCTTCTGCTGTGTCATGTTGGCTGGGGATGGGTGGGCAGTTTTAGAGTTTGGTTCTCTTACAGAAATGTTCTACAGGGCACATGCCAGGGGACTGAGGGGAGTTTCTGCCAACTCTGTGCCCAACCTATTGTCAATAGGAACCAGGAAAATGACCATTAAGGTGGATCTTCAGGGTACTGGAGCCAGCGTGAGAAACGAGAAAACGCGTAAAGCAGAGCTTTGCTCCTAGCCCAGCCCCATGCCCTCCACCCTAAAAGGCATCCGAGTCTCTTGGAATCAGTCTCGGCACAGACCTTGTTTCTAACAGACCTCACAACCCCTCAATGAACTGGCCGCCTCCTCTCTTCAGCACATACACTGTCTGCTAATGAGCTAGAGGAACATTTAATGGAGGACTGAGGACCCGGTATCACTATCACTTGATGGGTTTGAGAAGTGATTCAGATCTGGGATTGATGACTTTCCATTACAGTGCTGACACCAGTCCATTCAGCCGCTTTGAATTTTCTTTTCTGTTCCTCGTTCCTTCCTTCCTTCTCTTCTTCCTCCTCCTCCTTCTTCTCTCTCTCTCCCCCCCTTCCTCCCTCCTTCTCTCTCTTCTCTCCCTGTCTCAGTTGTAAG